CTAAAAAATCGACCAAACCAGCTCTGAGCACAGACCCGGGGTTCAGACCCGGGGTCCAGACCCGGGGTCCAGACCCGGGGTTCAGACCCGGGGTTCAGACCCGGGGTTCAGACCCGGGGTTCAGACCCGGGGTTCAGACCCGGGGTCCAGACCCGGGGTTCAGACCCGGGGTTCAGACCCGGGGTTCAGACCCGGGGTCCAGACCCGGGGTTCAGACCCGGGGTCCAGACCCGGGGTTCAGACCCGGGGTTCAGACCCGGGGTTCAGACCCGGGGTTCAGACCCGGGGTTCAGACCCGGGGTTCAGACCCGGGGTTCAGACCCGGGGTTCAGACCCGGGGTTCAGACCCGGGGTTCAGACCCGGGGTTCAGACCCGGGGTTCAGACCCGGGGTTCAGACCCGGGGTTCAGACCCGGGGTCCAGACCCGGGGTTCAGACCCGGGGTCCAGACCCGGGGTTCAGACCCGGGGTCCAGACCCGGGGTTCAGACCCGGGGTCCAGACCCGGGGTTCAGACCCGGGGTCCAGACCCGGGGTTCAGACCCGGGGTTCAGACCCGGGGTCCAGACCCGGGGTTCAGACCCGGGGTCGTGTCGTGTAACGATTTAATAAACAAGTTAATAATTAAATATTTTTTATTGCAATAATAATAATGACTGAAAGAGGGCAGGGCGGGTTTACTAGGTCTTGGGGGGTCAGGAATAATTTATCAAAACAAAATATCGATATATGGGTAAAATATAATCTTCTAAACTAAATATCTTTAGATTGAAAGTATTCATTTTTTATCTTGATGGGTATGAATGACTTGGTTTTGGAGGTGGATGTATGGGGGGGGGGGTGAAAGTGGGGGGGGGGGTGAAAATTAATATTTTTTATATGGAAATAAAAATATTTTTTTGTAATGATAATAATAATGATAATGATCACTCATACAGGGCGGGTATAGGTCCTGGGGGGTGGGGGTCAGGTATATTTTTATTAACACAAAATATCGATATGGGTGTTGTTTAATTGGTTGGTCTTGGTTGTGTAAATCCCAAATCCGAGGTGGGTCTAATAAAATTACTGCGATCTAAATTAGCAATATTTATATAAGAAATAAGCCAGCATTAACTCGAGTCGAACCCCATAAATAATGTTGTTTCAAATATTTTAATTAAAATTATTTATCAATAATATCGAACTTAAATAGGAAAATCCTGCAAGCAACTCAGCTTATGACTAAAAAATTTTTAATCGGGGACTCTTAGGGCTTGGAAATAATAAAAATGAATTATTATGTAGGTTTGCTTATAGATTATTTCTATACCATCCTGATCTTAGTTCAGAATTAGATACGAACTTTCTGACCGGATTTATTTAATTTCATCAACTAGATAATAAAATTAAGTATCTGTAGCTAATTTTTTTAATAAAATCCCCTATTTTCTTATGTGATAAAAAAAGTAAATTATATATTTCTATATGATTTTAAAATCTAAAATAAAGATGTGATTGATATTAACGAGTGGCTGCGTCTCTTCTATAAATATAATAAAAAATTTTATTTTACATAAAAAATTCAACATAAATATGATTAATTTAGATCTTATTAAAAATATTTCCGTCAACATTCTCGATGGAAACAGTTATAATTATAAATTTAATGAAAATTAATTTCCATTTTTTTAGATTTCGGAAGAAAAGGAAGTTTTTCAAAAAAATTTCTAAAACACATTTGTTTTCAATTATAATTTTATTCGTATTCGTAAATATCATCATCATCGTCTATAATTATAATAAGTATATTAAAACTGAAACAGAAAATAAAATATAAAAATAAAATCACATAATTAGTAATCACTATTTTCAAACTTCAAAGATATGTATTATATATAGATCGAATTTCCTTTTCGATATATCATATCGTATCCGTATGTGAGTTAAAGAGGCTGTGAAATATATTAAATCAAAAAAGTAGTAATTAATTACCTCAATTATATGGATCTTGTTTTGTTATTTGGTTTGAAGAACCATTTAAAAAATAATTATTTAAGTTAAATTACAGGAAGTTTTTAAAAAATAACAAAAATTTTCTCAACAATTTCTTAAGTTTTTAATAGTCATTTATTTTAATAAATAAAATCGAAATCCATATTTTTTTAATAATAATAATTAATTAATCATTCTGCATATTGTTATTTTTATGCACCATTCTGTTTATAAAAGTTTGCGATAATCTCTTCAGAATCTTTTTTTAGTGAATTTGGTGATATTAATTAACTTGACAGTTAACATAGCCGTAAACGTAAATTGATTTCTGATAAATAAGTAAATTTTGGTATTTCCAATAATAAATCTTCGATTTATTAATGTTAAATATTGTTTAAAATTTTATTCAAATTTCATATTATATATGTTTATTATTTATTATATATAGATTAATGTTACTTATTTATATAAAAGTTATTTAACAATAAAAATATTTTATATACTTTTAGAATTGCAATAGAATTGAATAAAAACTATAACTGATCATTATAATATATTTAAATAAATGACATAAAAATTAGATATGATATCGGATCGGTAATCGGTCGATATCAATTTAATATCGGATCGGATAGGCCTCCAAAAAGTGATATCGGTATACACCTACTTAAAACCCAAATTTATTAGTTATACCTTTAAAACCCGTGGTGATCCTGGATAGTTGACATCCCTTTAAAAATTATGACATATATATTATTGGGAATATAAACTTTAATATAATAAAGAAAAACTTTTTATTGGCCATTATTTTATCACAAATTATAAATTTACATTTCTTTTTATTATTTATACATGCATGAATGACGTTGAATTTTTATATTGGTCCTCCTCTCCACATTAAATTACAATATCAATATGTGTTAAAATAAAATTTTACTTTTTTATTTTTATTCCGTCATGCATGGGCTACTCTTTTTGAATATTTATTACATATATTTTTATTTTACCATATAAATTTTTTATCAAAAGAAAAAAAATGGTAAGAAAATAATAATAAAAAAAGCTTTATTTATTAATTTAGAATGAATAAGATAAGAAGAATAAGATTTAATTTAAGATTAGAAAATGAAATATTTTTTTTTTACTTTTCATTTATCCGAGCCCAACCCCAAGGTGTAAGTCTGGACCCCTGGTCTGAACCCCTGGTCTTAACCCCGGGTCTGAACCCCGGGTCTGGACCCCGGGTCTGAACCCCTGGTCTGAACCCCGGGTCTGGACCCCGGGTCTGAACCCCGGGTCTGGACCCCGGGTCTGAACCCCGGGTCTGAACCCCGGGTCTGGACCCCGGGTCTGAACCCCGGGTCTGAACCCCGGGTCTGGACCCCGGGTCTGAACCCCGGGTCTGGACCCCGGGTCTGAACCCCGGGTCTGAACCCCGGGTCTGAACCCCGGGTCTGGACCCCGGGTCTGAACCCCGGGTCTGAACCCCGGGTCTGAACCCCGGGTCTGGACCCCGGGTCTGAACCCCGGGTCTGAACCCCGGGTCTGGACCCCGGGTCCTGAACCCCGGGTCTGGACCCCGGGTCTGAACCCCGGGTCTGGACCCCGGGTCTGAACCCCGGGTCTGGACCCCGGGTCTGAACCCCGGGTCTGAACCCCGGGTCTGGACCCCGGGTCTGAACCCCGGGTCTGAACCCCGGGTCTGAACCCCGGGTCTGAACCCCGGGTCTGGACCCCGGGTCTGAACCCCGGGTCTGAACCCCGGGTCTGGACCCCGGGTCCTGAACCCCGGGTCTGAACCCCGGGTCGGCCTGAGCACGAAATTTGGTCGTAAATTTTACGACCAAGCAAATTAACAACACTAGGATAAAAGAAATTATATGGAAAATACAAAAAGATTTGACATACAAGAAAAAGTATGGGTCCGAGATTTTCAGGGACATCCATGGTCCAGCCAAGTTAGTAAACAGATCGGTCCGATGTCTTATTTCATAAAAGGAGATAAAAGATCATGGAGAAGATATTGAGATCATTTAAAAAACAAAGTTGATCACAAAACCTTCAGATATGATAAAGCAGGAATATATTAATAAATCGTTTATAATAGAAAACCCAACTCAAAAGCAAGTAAAGCCAAATGACCTCGTGGGAACAAGAGCTGCAAAACTCGTGACCGCAGAAGAGATAACTCACCTGACACCGATAGTAGAGGCAACCGCTAGAAAACTATATCCTTCTAGAATAAGAGAACCTTCTGACAGATATCAAAGTTGACGGGTAAAAAGGTTTTTGGTTTTAAAAAAGGTTAAAAATATCAATTTATTTTTTAAATTGTTTGTATAAAATTAATTATTTAAATTATTATCTTGTTTTTACTGTTTGAATAAAATTAATTGGTAATTGATATATAATGGATAAAACAAATAATTATTAGTAGCATTTAAGCTTTTTTCTTCCTGTATTTTTTGGGCTAAAATTTGATTCGTATATTTATTACTTTTGTAATGTATTTTATAGGTGCTTTCTTTAAATTTGTTGCAAAGTCAAAATCATGATACATCCATATTTTCATGGTTTTCATGATAATATGTCCTTTTAATATAAATTTTTGAGAAATGTTAAATATTTGTCTAATTTTAGAGTGTATCTTCAATACATTCTTAGAAACCTTTATTATGCAGGGTATTTCTTATTTTTTTAAATAGCAAAATTTACAATATATCATTTTGTTTTTTCATTAATAAAATACATGGATGAAAGGAATTCCAGCAAATATTATGGATTAAATAAAAATGTTAAAAAATCAATAACTTGGAATATCGTGGGTCGTTTTTAAAAATTTTGTTTAAACTGATATAAAATATAAAATTTGTTTTTATTTATAGTGAATATATTAACTGCCTTGCCTTTCCACATGTAAAAGATTTTACATCTGTCAATGTCACACATCCTATCAAAGTATAAGAGTTGAGGGTAAATGTACTTTTAACAGAGTGTCAATCTTTTCATTTTGACAATTTATTAAGCATGCCGGCAAAAAATAAAACTTTTAAAGTTATTAAATTATTTTATAATATATGACATTTTATTAATGTAGTTTGAATCGTTCTCTAGCCAAATATGTAAAATTAAGGTCGACATATTGAATCAACCTAGAAATGTGACAGAGCTTGATGTAAATAATTCTATATAATTTTTAATAATATAAAAAAAATTAGGAATATGATTCTTATTTCACAGAAAGTCTGGAAAATTGGGTCGAATTAAATTGCACCTTCCATTTTAGTAATTTTATAAATATGCAAATAAATATCAATATAATATAGCAAACTTTTACTATGAAGTAAGAAATTATTCTTCTAGCTTTGTACATATAGTTCATCATCAGGTTAATTTTAAATCTTGTCAACTTAAATTTATATCTCAAGCTAGAAAACAATTATTCAAATTTTAATCAAGCATTTGTCAGTTGAAGGGTCAATGGCACTTGAACCATTATTAGAGTGATTATATATTTCTATTTGTATAATAATTATGAAAAATAAAGCTTATTGATACAATTAGCACGTGATTTGCAAACGGATTTTTACCCATATTTTTACATATTTTTTGATGTCATGGTAAAGTTATTAAAATCTCAGCTGCATTACAATGCAGGAATATGTGTTGACCATTTGAAATTTTTATTTTCCACCTTATCCTACCTTATTAAATACCTTTGGCGATATTTAGTCAAAGACATTATAGAATTATATAAGTTAATATTTATAAATGATCATTATAATTTAAATACAATATAGTTATTACATATTACTTTTTGACAAAGATCAAAATGTTAATATCACTCGATTTGCAGCCGAAAGCTTCACATATTTGGCAAGAAAGGTTTACAAATATTAAAATAGTTTATATATTTTTAAAACCTTTTTTATTGGAACTAAAGGTAAAGTTTCCCAGAGAATTAATAAATCATATGCATAACAAGGCATTTGAAAATGAAAAGGTTTATTTATTATTTAATTTCTGAAGATAAAAATGTTATTAGAATCTGCATCAAGGGACAGCAATGATTATTTCTGAAACTATTAAAGGAGTTAATGGAGATATACATACTAAAGGCCTACAGGTTTATATACTTTTTTACTTATGAATTGTAGAAAATTAGTTTATAATCTCATGAAGGGGAAAGATATTTATAACTGATTATCATAAATTTTAAATGTATCTAAAAATTGTTATACTATCATCTAGTTTATCAAAGTGTTGTTAGAAACTTTAAATGCACCTGAGGATAAAGTTGAAAAACAGGGATGTGTATTTGACATTGTATATGCCACTTTTGATAACCTCAAGTCTTATTTAACCCGCAACAATTTCCATCATCTAGCAACAATATTTCTGGTAAATTATTACTATCTCATTTATGTAAATTTTAATATAAACCTGACAGAACTCAAATGAAAATACTTAATACTTTCATGGGGTTCAAGTTACCTCATTCATGAATAAAAAATAAAATAGTAATTTATATTATCTTTTTTCATTAAAATAAAACAATATTAGAATTTCTATTGGATTATTATTAAAGGTCTACAATACACAGATTTTAACCCTAAAGCCCACTCATCCTTCTTTACCATTTAGTGCTGATTTTCCAGGTTTTCTTAGGTAAGCCAGTTTCTTATCAGACTTTCCCCACTTTTTACAGTCCTATAGATTGCTATTTGTAAGACCCATTATTCTCAAAAATCCACTATCACTTTCACCCACATCTACGTTGTATTACTAAAGGCTCTGATTCCATTACTTCCATTGAAGTGCATTTATCCCAATCATCTTTCCTTTTTCATTTAACATGTCCAAATTGCCTCCTCATCATCACTCCAATCACTTCTATTAATCCTTGCAATTTGTTGCAGAGTTTGTCTCATATACTTCACACATCCATTTGACCATTAATATCTGTTCTTTCCAATTTTATTTCATGTGCCACCTTCATTACCCACAGTTTGCCACCCAGCTTACATACACTTTTCCTTTCAGGTTCAGATATATGTTTTTATCTGTAATAGACAGCATCTCTTGGAACTTCTTCCTTGCATATCAGACCCTTGCAACAACAGCAGAATTAACACCTCCATATGCATTCAATGTGTCACCCAAATGACAAAACCTTTTCACTTTTTCCAGAGTAGCTCAATTACCAATATCTAAACAACCTTTTGGACATTATCATTATGAGCCCCTTTCACACATGTTCAAGAGATCAAAGTCATGCTTGCTATCATCAGACTTCCTTTCTCACCAATACATCTTTTATGTACCCATTTATGACAGCTGGTGGATTGGACTGAAATCCTAAAACTTTCCCACACACACAACAGATCAAGTGCCTGTTTCGTACGTATTTCTATGACAAATAATGGACCCAAGACTGATCCTTAATGTACCATACTTTACCTCAAAGCTCTCACTGTCACCATCATATGTCCTAACAACCTTTCAGACATCCTTGTAAACTGCCATCGCCACCAAAACCAACCTATAAAATTAATTTTCTCAAAGTCCATTTAGTAACTTTATACAGGACCCCATGAAACACTGTCTTTCAGTCTACAAAAGAATAAGTGCCCCTTTTTTTGCCTGATATTGTCTTAATATAAAAATTGCAGTCATAGTGCTCTTTAGTGATCTGCATCGGGCCTAATTTTTAAACTCGGCCCGGCCCAAAATTTTTAATTTTTTTTAAAAAAGTTTTGCTGGTCTGGCCAGAACCCGATTTTTTTAAAGAATTGCAGGCCCGGCTTGAACCCGAAATTTTTTTTAAAAAAGTTTTGCTGGTCTGGCCAGAACCCGATTTTTTTAAAGAATTGCAGGCCCGGCTTGAACCCGAAATTTTTTTAAAAAAATTTACTGGCCTGGCCTGAATTTATTAAAATATAGAAATTAATATATATAATTACTCAAAATAAAAGACAATGGCGTTTAGTTTCAATAAATAAAATCAAAATTTTTTATTTTACATAAAAAATTCAATATAAAATTGATAAATTTAGATATATTTAAAAAAATTTTCAAGATCCGAACTAACCTGGGTTAATTTATTTTAAAAATATTAGGCCCGCGAACCCGATTATTTTAAATAGAATTAGGCCCGTGCTTGGCCCGAAGCCTATTCAGGCCTGGCCGGACTTGGGCCAGGTACGGGCCGGGTCTAACTTTGCAGATCTCTAGTGCTTTCCCAAATGTAAAATCAAACTGCATATCATCGATTTTCACTTGACTCTGATTCTTTTCTCTAGAACTCTATCAAAAACATTCATTCCAATTGCCCAGTATGAGTCAATTTTCTTTTGTAAACAAGTATAACCAAGTTTCTTTCCAGTCCACTGGACCTTTGCATAAGATTATAGTTAGTAATGACTAAAATAGGCTAATTCGGCTCAATCTTCAGGCACCTGCCAAAGAAAATACGTTAAAATTAAAGCGCTTTCATTTATAACAGTTTCTTCCAGATCTGCAATCTTTTTAGGAAAACCCCAAAGCCAAAGTGTTAGTTGTCGGCTAAAAACTTGGTTTAACCGATTTTTTAGCCTACTAAAAAATGGCTTAAATGGCTAAAAATATAATAATTACCCAACTATTACATAAGATCGAATTGCAAAAATCTGTCACACTCAAATTTCTTCAGCTGCCTTCATCAGTGTCATCATTCTTATTGGGCCTGCTGCTTTACCTCTCTTTAGTGTTTGCAATAATGCGGTCTCTTTTTTCTAAAATAAGACTGGACCGATGGACCGTTAAGTCAAATGAGACCTGACAATCGGTCCAGTCCCATCTAATTTTTTTTATTAAGCTACAAATGTTGATTTAGCATTAAATTTGTTTCAATATTTTTAATTATATCAAAATCATCTTTATTATATTGTACAATACATGCATATTACAAAAGAATATTAAAATACTAATTTATTGAATACAATTTATATCAATTTGATTTACATAATTAATTAGTTTCATATATATATTTCGATAGATATTTGATTATAAATAAATTATATATAAATAAATATTTTAATTATCTTCTAAAAAATCAAAAATTATTCTATTTTTAATCCAAGATTCAAGTTACATAGATTGAATCATCTTCGTATTCATTCTATTTCGTTTTTTTGTTATTTTATCGCTTGCTTTAGAAAATATCTGTTCACAACTACAGATGTAGCCTGCCGTGAGCTATTTTGGCTAGAATTGAAAATCGATATTGATTCCATAATCACCAATTTAGTATGTTAGAATTATTTGGATATAAAATATCAGGTAAATAGTTTTGGATTTCATTATTTGTCTGTTGATGTCCCAGTTCCCATGAGTTCCCTGGCTACCTCAAGGATATTTCCTTAAATAATAATGATCAATAAAATAAATAAATATTTTTATATACTTTGTTTGACTTCATGCCACTTGATAAAGTGCTATATAGTAAACTTATCTTCTTTAATCGGTCTTCTGTCGGACCGGACCAGACCACAGGACCGTGTTGTGGGACCGGACCGTCCCATGAAACCCAAGAGCATGATGGGACCGACTTGACTGAACCAGACCGTCGGTCCGACCGGTTCGACCGGACCATTGCAAAACCTCTCTTCATCCTCTTGAATGCTTTCCTAACTTCTTCCTTCCTGAACCTACAAGCAGGACCTTCAATTTTACCACTATCCCACTTATTTTTTCTCATTTAGTATAGTAATTCTTCCATATACTTCCTCCACGTCTCCTTGATCTCTTTGTTTTCAATAACAATTAAACATTGACCACTACATCCTATCTCTCTCATCCTTTGTTTTGCTATTATCATATTTTTTTCCCCTCATATTTCAGCCACCTACTTAATGTTTTAAAATAATTTTAACTTTATTGCCCACCTACTCATGGTTTTTTAAATAAAAATTTACCAGCCTTTCTGCCCATTCATCTAAAAAATTTGTTCAACTAACCTGCCTGCCCAAAAAATTTATTTTATTGACTGGTGGCTTTTTATTTTAATTTATTTTTACTTACGCTTATAAAATATACAATATTATGTAATAAAAAAATGATTTTAAATAAATATAAGCTTACCCTTTGTACATTTTGCCCGAAAAATATGGAATTCGTCAACCCTCCCACGCAATGTTATTTTTACCGCCCACCCACTTAAATATGGGCAGCCTAAAAACCCGCCAATTTCAGACCTCTTAGGAACACATAAATCGATATTTTATTTAACATTAAAATGTAAATGTATGTTTCTATTAAAAATTTTCAAAACTTGGGCCAAAAAATAAAATAAGCATATCTTTCTTGTAATTTAAAAGAATAAAAATTCCTTGTCATCATAGACCTAAAAATAAATATAAAAAATTTTGCTAGACTCGGGCCTTAAAATGGAAAAATTATTTAGCCGAGCAGAGGTCAGGCCAAATAAATTGAATTTACTGGGATCTCTAGCTCTATTTGCCATAGTATAATATCTTTGTTCTTCTAATATATTGTATAGAATTGCATTTTCAATAAAATTAAAAATTACTTTTAAGGATAAATTATTTAGTGCTTTAACCAATTTTTTTTAAAACGGCTGAATCTAAATATTACCTACACCATGAAATTTTCCCAAAAGATGGAAGAATCGCACTCTTTTGGCAAAATTGGTTAGATAATATTTGTTTGACTAATATCGATATAGCTTCTTTTTTTTAAAAAAAATCCACTAAATGGTGATTTTTTTTCTTCAATGCTATCTTCTCATCTTAACTGATCTCATTTGTAATAAATAATTATGAAATAAATTGTCTATAGAGAATAGAATATACCAAAAATATATCAATAAATGAATAGACATATAAAGCAAATGAGCCATTCAAATTATAAAATAATTACCATATTCTAAAAAAAAACCACTATTCAATATTCACATTGTATCCTTAAAATAATTATCTGTTTTTTAAAAAAAATTTAGAATCGGATTGGCCAATTTATTGATGGCCAATATTTTTTAAAGATACAAATAATTGAGCTAATCCAATAATAAAAAATTGGCCCATTCCTAAATCTTATATTAATAATAACATAAATGATAATGTGCTTTGAGATTTAATTTACCAAAAAGAAATGAAGGGTCATCATACATACAACCTATTTTGATGCAGAGGTACTTTTATACTTATATAATGGATTTTTAGGTTGCATTCATAGTAAAGACGGATCCGATTCTTACATCCGTTCCGTCAAAAGTCAATCTCATTAAAAATGTTATATGTGTTCATAGTGCGTCCGTTCCGATACCTTCCGTCTTAAAAACAGATCCGGCAAATTTTGAAGTCAAAACATTTTGACTTTTTGATTCGGCAAATCTTATAGAGTGTTATAACGTTACTTACAATTTTTTTATAGTCTATGAACATTTAATCATTTTTAATGAGTTTGACTTTTGACGGAACGGATGTAAAAACGGATCCGTCTCCACTATGAATGCAGCCTTAAATATATTATTTTATTACATTAATATGCATATATTTATATAAATCAATATGGCTTAAATTTTATACTGATTCTTGTCCAATAAAATTAGGAACACCTTAGATTATCGTTTATAAGATCTCTATCGTCCTTCACTTTTGAGAATTCCATGGAATCTGCTAAATTAGGAGAATATTTCGAACGTTTGCAAAGATTTCTGAAGATTATTTTGAACTTTGTGGCCTACAAAAACGGATATTTCACGTCCTTTGACCCATCCATATTCAACGTAAATTGAAGTATTATTGAGTTTGGGGGATTTTTTTTACTATTACTTACGACTTAAGATTTCGCCAAACGATAGCAGAAATGTAAAACTTTCCTTTAACGAAATCTTTAAAGTTTATAGTTCATACAAATTTGAAGCGTTTTCTTTTTAGGTTTTATATCAAGGTAAACCTTTTTTTGCGTCAAAAATACGCCGAATATTTATGGGTTTTCATATTTTTAAAACATAAAAGCGTTTATTTTATAAAGAAACACAATGCTAAACGTTTCTGCTCAGCACGCTTGGCTAGCACCTTAATGCAGTTTTTATAAGTCGGCAAATTGAGGTTTTTATATTTTATCGAATAACTGGATTGCCATTTTAAATGGATCCAATCATTTTGGTTCATGACTTATCTTAAAATCTTTAGTCACTTAATTTAAACAAAATAAACGGATTTTATAATAGAAAATGTAACAATAACCTAATGATTTTTTTTCCAGATCGTATTAGAACTTAACGCATTAGCATTAAACGTACACTCCTACGGTTTGCACGAATTTCCTACCCATTTTACAGACATTTTATTAAAAATAAACACTGAATTTTTGCTGAACTACTGGGACAAAATGGATGTCATGCAACGTCGAAATTGGATAGGAAAGGTAAATTAAGGCAGAATAGAAGGAGGAAGGGAATTAAATAAGTAAGAAAGAAAGAAATAAATAAAAAATTATTTAATTATAGAACGATATTTCACAAATAGGTTGCTACTTAAAAAACAAGCTCATATTTTATATTACCTTTATACATCTAATAATATCTATCTATATTATTAAATTATAAAACGAATTTTTTTTAAAAACGAATTGGATTTCTCTTCTTAATCCTTAAATTACATACTTTTTATTCATTTTTTTCACACAATTTTATATTATTATAGCATCTCATATGAGAGAGCGACATGTTAGGATAATGGCAGTGGTGTATTGCTTAAAAACTTGGTGGGGGCTGCAATTTTAAGATATATTATCAAAAAATATGATTGATATATATATAAAATCGACTTTTTTTTTTACAATTATGATTGAATTTTTAATTTATATGTATATTTTAAATATAATGTAGTAAATTTCACACAGTATTTTAATTTTTTAAATATACCTTGACTGGGCCTGATTTTTTTTTATATACTCAGGCGGACCTGAAATTTAAAAAAAAAAAAATTAGGCCAGGCCGTATATTTTAAAACCAAATATTTGAACGCCATTATTACCTATAAAAATTAAAAATTCGGGCCGAGCCAGTCAAATGGTACCTCTGCAGGTCTCTGATAAATTTAATAACACCAATATCTATACAAATTAAAAAATAAAATTTCCATAAATCTTTCATTTCTTCTTTTTGATTAGGATTTATTTTTCATTAAAAAGATCGAATTTGCTCGCGATGATTCCTTTTCCATACTTTGATACATGGATCTGGAATCCATTCCGATATTGTAGATCCATTAATATTTATGAACATTAAATTTGGGGAAATATTTAATCTTAATTTCTTTATATGATTAAAATTATAAGAAAACCCTTTTCACACTCGGCTATAGGATAAAGTACACACACAGTTAATGAATTTTTAAATTTTTTTATTAATATTTTCATCGATATATTGTTGAGGCTTATCATATTCATCTAATTAGAGTATTTGGCAGATTCTTTTTATTTTCTTTTCGCCAAATCGCCCATCTTGGTTCTTAGACCAATTTCTTTTTAAATAAAGTATAATATCAAAAAGAATTTCTAAAATAAAAGATATTATTAAAATTTATTATTTTTTTAAAGCTATCCATTAGACGGATCCTGCATGATGCTTTCTAGGAAATTATAAATTAGTCTATTTTTAATCTTACCAGTTTTGGATTTTTTTAAAATAAAAGTGGAATTTCTGAATCGAGCGACATCTGTAAATATTTACTTACATACAACATCTACATGAGAGAAGAGGGTAGGAGCGATTTGCTTACAATTTTTTTGAAGGGAGAGGTAGAGGGTAGGCACCTAAAGGGGGATAGAAAAATAAAAAATTAGATTGCAAATCTTATATTGCTGATTATTAACTTTAAGATTTTTCACCTAAAAATTAAATTCAATTTTATTAAGCAATAGTAACTAAAGTTTTCTATCAAAAACTTACTAACTATTTGCAGATTATAGATAAAAATAAATGATAAATTATTTTAATTTATAAATAAATATTTATTTCTCATTCATTCACAAATCCCCCTCCCCTCTACACATTTGAATAATGCACATTCAATTTGTGTTCTATTCCCACTATATCCCTTTTTACTAAAACAAAATCTATTGAAAATATATTTAAGGTCATCAAAAATTAATCACGATCCTCTGGACCCCATGGGATTTGAGGTGAATTATATTTACAAACTAATAGTAACTAAAACAATGTCTAGATTTTATCATCCTACCTCTTATATTTTTGGAGATAACAACAAAGGTGAAAAATTACCTATTTAATGGGTAAGCGGAATATGAGATGGTTATTTTTAAAAATATATTAAAAAATATATTGGGATGAAAATTTTCCTTGGAATTAGTTTCCTGCATTCATTTTAACCCTTAATTGTCATTTAATTAAAGATTTTTTTTAACCACAGTTTAAAATTCTTGTAAAAAGTTATAAGTTTCCTCGATTTTTATGATTTATGCAAATCTCTAAGACCAATCTGTATCTGTATAAAAAAAAAATTGGAATGCCAAGTTTCATAATGTAAATCATTAAAGACACTAAAAATAACAAGTCTTTTTTTTTGTTCAATAAACCTATGTAATTTATTATTTTAATATTATTTGGAGTATTTATTATGCAATTTTTATAATTTAGAAAAATCTGAGGTTGGATGGTTTGAAAAATATTTTTGGTTGGAATCAGTGCCTTAGACAAGAGGGGATTGGGGTTGAAACTAGTGATCTGCATTGGGCCTAATTTTTCATGTCCGGCACGATTCCTGACCATTTTTTTTATTTTTCCTGAAAAGCCCAGCCCAAAACATAAATTATTTGTCCGCTCAGCCCGAATTTATTTAAATATATAAAAATTTAGTTTTTTTATTGTAAAAAAATATTCTACAAGTAAAAGATATTAGCATCTTGTTTAGATAAATCTATTTATCTGACAAAATGTAATATCATATTTAAAAATTTAGCCCAACCCCCCCTCCCCCCCCCTATCTTGAAATTTTTAAACAATATTAGGCCCCGACATAGCCCAATTAATTTTTAGAAATAGACCTGGCCTGTACGAAATTATTCCCCCCCCCCCCCACCCCATCATGGATAAATCCTGTCTACGCCACTGGGTGGAATAGATTAATACATTACATGTAATTTCCTGTTTTTAAATATTTTATGTGATGTATACAATAAATCATATAAAAACATTAAAAAGAATATAAGAACAATCAGGCAACCTAAAAGGGGGGGGCGAATTTCCCCTCCCCATCGCAAATTGCCTGTTCTCGTAAAGATCATTTTAAGCTAATAAAAATGTTCTACCTAAACACCCCTCTACCCCCCTCTCCCCCAAAAATGTATACATCATATTACTACGAAGAAGAATTTGAAAGAAAAATTAATAAAAGTTAATAACTTTTTAAAATAATGACTATAATTCAAAATTTTAGAAAAAAAGTGAAAACCCAAAATTATTTTTGTAAGAATATAATAAGCTAAAGGCTTTCAATAAGTGGACCTAAAGGCTTCCAATAAAATTTATGGCGGAAACCACGCCTAATGCCCCCATAGGAAAATCTTATATGCGCCTATGGAAAGAATTTATTACATATTATGATGATAAAATATTCTTTGTTCTTTAGTGTTTTTATCGATTTTTATGTTGATGAAAAGTTGGCATTTCAATTTTTTTTATCAAATATACATTTGTCAGTCATATTTGCTTAAAACTTTTAAAAATGGAAGATATTCTTTATTTTTTACAAAGGTTTAAATTTAAAAAAAATTTAAATGGGCCGCCACTAAAACAATATAAATATTTTTAAAAAATATGTATTTATAGTTTTTAGTAAATCTTTAATTGAATGACAATCGATAAGCGTAAAAATAGATCATGTTTCATACTTTGATCCTTGTTCCAAAAATATAATGCTGAAATTTGAATAATGCCTTAGTTAATTGTACCTTAGTTTGTTTAAAATTTTACCCAAATACCAAAAAGTCCAGCAAAAATAATATTTTTTTGATCGATTTGACATGGAATGGTCCTATGAAAAACATTAAATTTCAACAATTTATAATATAGATAGATAGATAGATAATGTTAAGATATATAAATTATAGCTTTATCCTACTTTACTGCTCAGAGACTATTTTACGATATTTTACCTTTCTTTGTTTATATTTTTTTTATTACAATTATCTCAATTTATTTTATAATTAATATTTTAAACAGCTATTTGATATGTTCGAGGAACTAGACGACAAATCGAAGCCTTATTTGCTATTGGATTTAGTCTGTGCGCTTAAAGATTGTTCCATTTTTATCGAGGTGTCATCATGTTTTTTTTGTGAAAAATACATGCTAAAAGAATAAACAAATTTTCTATTAATTGTAACTTGAGCTTTTCAGATAAAGCTTTTACGATAAAATTGTAACTGTTAACTAAGAGCTTTCTTATTATCAAGTGCATATCATTTAGGCGCCAGGCCTAGGTTTTTCAAATTTTTTTAATGGGCCTCCAAAAAAATTTTCATTTAGATTTATTTAAAACAGTTGAAATTTTTTTCTTCCTCTAATAATAAATTTTAGTGTTGCAAACTAAATGATTGTCTAAATGCACTAAAATATTGCTTAATTTTATTGAATACAATAAATTAAATGTGTGGGCCAGATTTCGGAAAAATTTTTGGAACTTATTATCGGCTTAGGATTTTTTTTAATATCATATATGGGCCATGCTTGGGCCTATATTTTTTTTACTCTGGGCCTGATCAAAAAATATTCGCCCATGAAGGTCTATGGCCGCTACTATATAACATTAGACAATTTATGTAGTATAAGGAATCGATTACTCTGATTTTGTTAATCTAATCATTAATAAACTAAAGTATTTCTATATGATCGTTCTAATAGATTTGTTTATACAATCATTTTTATAAACATCTGATAAATCGTCTCAAGTCATAATCCATTAATTGATGTTAATTCATTTTACCTAGCATCTTCCACTATCTAACAATTTAATTCAATGTTATTCCATATAATAGTATAATAATTCAGCTTTACATTTTTAGATATATCATTTACAATACATTGCATAAATAATTTATATATAGGCTTAATTTATACCTAGGCATTAATAAGCATTTTTAAAATTTAAATATAAAAAAGGGAATTTAAAATATTTAAAAATTGTTGTAAAATTGTAATATACAAAAATTTATATAAAATAAGACAATTATCAATTAATTAACATTATCGATCAAAATTGATTGATAATAAATTTCACATCATTTTATAAGCATAAAATTATTAGGTTCGAACTGGTTCACAAGCATTTTGGATAGAAAATAATTTAACGGTTCTTATAAAAAAATATCGCTTTTAAAGGGTCAGATTTTTTTTGGATTCCTGCCTTCAAGGCAGCCCAATATAATTTGGTCCAGGTCCACACTTTTGCTATTGGCCACAGCTAGTAAGTTATGTTTTATTTAAAAAGGTTCTGGCAAAATATATATGTGTACAATTTTCACTATTTTTTGATGATGTACAGCATTTTTATCATAATCTGATTTAAATAAATCCGAAAACTTTTCTTTTAAAAATTTAGGAAATACTTGTTCGACACATGACATATCTGGAAGGTCGATTCCTTCATAACCATCAATTTGGCTTTACCGCCATTTTAGACCTTTCTGTCAGGATACTTCCTGAGTTGTTTGGGCTCACAAATTTACGGACATTCAGTTTTTCATCATCTTCTTTCCGACCCTGCTTGGATTCGATACTAAAGAAGTAAATGAATGATTGAGTTGAGATTGATACCACAATAATATATTTTTGAACTTTTATTTCTCCTTTAAGTTATAACCACTCTCCACTACCCAAGAAAAAGCACGTAAAAAAATTTAAATAAGATTTCATAAATCGAAAATTATAACGATACTAGTTGATAACCCATCAAGAATGACGGGAATAATAAAATCTTGAACTATTATATGAAATTTTTTTTTAAATACATTTTTTTTATAAAAAATAAATGACAAATTTTAGTGATTATTATTTCATTTCATTTTATTAAATCTAATCTAAAATATATGAAATTGTAATTAAAAATGTAGGGTAGATATTGATAAATTGGTGTTGTATGTCATTTCCAGAGTTCAAATATTGTTGTTGAGATAAAATTTTTATACTGGCATATTTTGGGGTGGTAATACTAAATATAATTTAAAAATATTTGTTAAATCTAAATTATAATAAGTACTTAAGATTAGTGAGGGAGGTTAATTTTCTGGCATGGGAAGATATTGATAAATAGGTATTTTAAACTATTTGCAGAGCTCCCATATTGTGGTTGAGATAAAAAATATTTTTACTGCCATATTTTGTGGTGGTAAATAATTTAAATTTATTTTGTTAAATCTATTTTAATATAAAAATAATTTTATAAAAATTAATAAATTTTACTTTGATTGAATATAAATACTTACGCTAAAATTAATATGAGATAAATGTTTATATTTCAATTGGCTAAATATAATTTAATTTGCTATTTTAAATTTAATAATATTCATTCTTACCATAATTTGAGGTGAGGTTAGTATTCTTTTTAAAATAACACAATAAGATCTAAATTATATAAATTAATTGAAAAATATGTTAATAGCAAAATAATAACATATATAAGAAAGATTATATTACAAAATTTAATATAGAAGATGGCTGAGTGGAAGAACATTTGCCTTTAAATCGTTAAGTCATAGGTTGGAATCCCGTGATAAAAATTTTCTTAAAATTTAACATTAGAGATATATAGTCTCCATCGATTTATTTAACATTAAGAGGATAGGAAAGTTGTTAGAAAAAATAAAAATTAACATTAAGATGATAGGAAAGTTGACAGGGAAAATAAAAATTAACATTAAGATTATACGAAAACGTTCATTTCTTGATTATGGTGATTATATATATAGATTCTAAATCTTTGATAAAGGACAATTATAGTGATATTGTCAACATGACTTTCAATAAACCTTGTTCCTCGAATTTTTAGAAGCTTTTGGTCTAAAAATTATCCTTTGAAAATCAATGAGGTTTTCAAAACCTGATTTACTCATAGTTGTCTAAAAGTTTATGTTTTATTAATGGTTTCCAATTACCACTTAGACCTTCGGGCTAATATTTAAACAACTATATGTGGATGCGCAATGATTAATATTTAAAATTTTAGACTTTTGTAGGGTAAAATATTATCGAAAATAAAAATTTGTTTTACCATAACGTCGCATCAAGCAATGGTTTAGTATATTACATTTTGTCAGATTTTTGATTAGCTTAAGTACAAATTCAATATTAACCATAAAGGAGAAAAATTAATTTTTTGGGATTTTTACCCAAATATTAATCTTAAATAATAATAGGGAATTTAAAAAAAAAATTTAATGTGTTATTTATTGGAAAGTAAGTTTTACCTCTCAACAAATAGCTAGTTAGTTATATAGCTTAAATAGAATAGACAGATTTAATAAGAAAAATTATATAGGTAAAGATGATCTGATCGAATATTTAAAAATAAATAACACGGTTACAATTGATTGAGGATAATATGGTCCAGATCTAGGAAATTTTTAGTGGGGTGTAGGCATCCAATTAAGATGAAATAATATTACACATGTAATTTAGGATAAAATACCTTAGTTGCCAGAGGGTTATTTTTATGTATCATTTATTAATTCCCTAAATATTTTATTTATATATACTTTTAAAATTTTCTTAGACCTACTCCAAATATAGATAAATTTATCCTTAGTTTACTTGTCAAAAATTGCCGTCACTCGAAAGTTGAGGACTTTTCACCTCAAATCTTTGAGGATTGTCTTGGACTATTTTTGGCGCTTCTATGGATGACTCATATCAAGTAATTCTCAACAAAAACATAAGATAGTGAATATTAAAAGGGGCTCGTTTTAAAATTATATTTATAGTTATATTTTATACTACAGGTTTGAAATGTTTTTTTTGAAATTGTAATTTATTAGAAATACAAAGCATTATTATTAGTTTACTGCTATATTTCACTTACCTTTTTCATTTATTTGTATTTGCTTATTTATACCCCATTCTTACTCTTAGATCTTTAGCAGACGATGCCTCACTCCAAAATATGAGAGCCGTTTTAGGGAATTTGATCTCTGCCAGGGCGGATACAAAATTCAACAATGCCACACTTTTTAAAAGTATTTTATAAAAATTTTCTTTTCCTAAAAGGCTGCATGGTTTTACTGCTGATTTACCATGCAATTATGTAATTGAGTGTTTTTTTCAGGAAGAGCATATAATGTAAAGATATTTAAGAGTTTCTGAACTGACACTTCTAAAAGCTTTATATAAAAGAGTAAAATTTTGATTTTTTTAAAAATAAAAATCACAATTGCTAATGTATGGGTAGATGGGGGGGGGGGGGGCTAGGAATTTATTTTTTTAAAATGGCTTGAATCATAATTATGTTTTTTCAGAATCGAGTTAATATGAAAGTTTGCGATTCTGGCCGAGACAGAGTTGTTGTAGACTAAATTTTTTTAAAAAATTTTTCTTAAACAGATTTACTCAATCTTACCATTATGTACATGTTTTATCTGGACGCACGACATAACGCTGGCTCTTCATTTTTCACCATTAACCCGTCTACCTTTATTGTTTTTCAACATACTTTGAAGTAATAATTTACAGGGGTCTGAACCAATATATATAGAGATTACGGTTCAGGAGCAAATATTTTTATTATTCTTTCATTAGATTACGTACAAAAGTCAATGTTGTTAAACGTGACTTTCAAAAGTAGCACTTTATTTTTCCAAAAATTTAGCCACTAATTGCTATTATATTTAAAAATTAGCATTCTTTACTTTATGAATATAAACATTTGATAAAATCAAGTTATTATGAATTGAATAGTGACTTATATAATATAAAATAAAAGAATTAAACGTATTATTTATTACATTATTACATTTTAATAACAAAATTATTTCTATATTCAACCTTAAGTCTTGAGCGACGATTTCTAAATATAATTTTACTGGGCTAAATAATCGCTTTACGACTAGCATTTGAGGTAATGGTGTTTTAATTTAATAAATTTATTTATAAAATAGGGAAAGTCATCGAATTTATCCATGATATTGTTTATTTGGTGCTGAAAAAGCATTTGGTGGATTTTTTGTCATATTAGTGTCATTCTTTCTAAAGAAATCAAGTGATTTCCTTGTGGGTACAACCAATCTACTTTCTTGGGAATCAAAATATTTAACCAGTCAATACATTTGGCTGATCTATAGACCTAGGAAATATATGAGTTATCTCATCCTTTTCTTTTTCATATATATTTTTTTTAATTGTAAATATTATCAGCTGGTCATAGTGGATTTAATTTATTATAAAAAAACAAAATAATATTTAAAATATATTTAAATTTCAAAATTATAAATTTAATTTTTATATTTATAAACAATTTTATTAAATATAATTTATAAGAAACGAAAACTACTTTTCAAACAAAATTAGCGTTTTAATTAACGCGCACTCAGAAATATTATATACAAAAAATCGTTAAATTTAACTTTTATTTATAAATATTCCTTAAGATTTGGTTATACATAAAATCGTAATAAAATACTTACCCAACTATAATGAAATTAGACAATGTGATATGGTTATGGCTTGAATTTATTAAGATTTCGTATTAGGCATTCAAAAACGATTACAAATCTAATAATGTATTACCCTTGTTGATTTCGAAAACAAATGAATAATTTTGAATCGAAGATAATTATTTCACTTTTCATATTCAATTATTGATAGTAAATTTTTCAATTCATTTCAATGGTAAAGTGGATAAATAACGCAAGTGGTTAGTTGGGGCATAGACCCCCCCCCCATTTTAAAATGATATATTTCACTCAGATTTTTATATTAAGTTTTGCCATTTTAGACATATATTAAGTAACAATAAATTATAAAAATTATAAGAGTACTAAATAAAAGGAGAATTTTTATGTAAGATTGACTTATAAAGACAACAAATTATTCGAGCAGTTCTTTTATTAAGAAATGGGCAGTATTTTAATTAAATAGGCAGTAGATAAACATTTGGTTGGTATTTTAAATTTTTGGAAGTTAATATTTAATTGTTAAGTTTTTTATTGATTTAGGCATTATTTAAAATAAACAGGTGGTTTTAAAATAATTTGGCAGGTATTTAAAATTTTTGGTCAGTTAATAATTTTCCAGTTTTTATATTTATTTGGGCAGTTTTAATTTTTTACTATAATTTTTAAAATGGATTTAATGGAAATATTTGATAAATATTGTTGATATTCATCTGATTACTATGAAGAATGGTAATAGTAAGGATGGGAAAATAAAAAAAAATAAAAGATTTTGCTGATAAATTCTGAAGTCCAGAAATATCTAAATAGTAATTCCTGGGTCAACCATATGCAAATGATACAGAAGAGGGTAAGAAAATTAATTTTGATGTAATTTAGTTAAAAAAAAGAAGAGAACAATTTACTGCAAGAATTTATTTCCTTTATAATTCTAATATTAATAATTAATATACACATCTCAATATCGTACTCATGAACTTTTTGAAACTAAAATTCTCAAAGTACCTAATGATGTAAAATTTGAGATAGCTACTTTATTTATGATGGGCCTCAAACTTAAAATGATTATGGAAAATTTGCAAAAAAAGAATTTAATATTACAATGTAAGGTTTAATTAAATATTTATATATAAAAATTATTTACTATAAAAACTACAATTTTATAACATTTTTGATATTTCATATAATATATTTGATAGCTCATAATAAAAGACAATAAATGAAACAATTTTTAAATAAATATCGTGCAATGCAATTTTAGTTACAATTCAACTTAATTTTTTTTTACTTGCTCAATATTTTATAAATACTGGCCAAATTGTATATATTTTTGATAAAAAAAATACTGCCCAATTTGATAAATTTACTACCCAAAAATTTATAAATACTGCACAAAAGATTAATTTGTTGATAATAAAAATACTGCCCATTTTCATTAATTTACTGACCAAAAAAATCATAGCCTAATATACTATATTTAATATTTTTTTATTCTAAAATTCTATTTAAAACATTTATTAGATATGTTTTCAAATAATGTTTTATAAAAATAAAATATGTGTTTTTGCCTCCAAAAAATGTTTATATCTTAAATATTATTCAATTAAAATGCATAAAACCTTTTAGAAACATTAATTAGCATAGAATATAGGAGGCTACTGAAGAAAACCCAGATTCATAATATCGACATGTATTTTTGCAGTAACAATGCATAGAATATAGGAGGCTACTGAAGAAAACCCAGATTCATAATATCGACATGTATTTTTGCAGTAACAATTTAAAATGTCTGCGGCATTTCTAGGCCTTAATATACAACTCAAGTGTTAAGAGAATCAAATGTGAATAATTTATTATTTGGAATTAAAATTTTTCAAATAAAAAATAAATATGATGCATTTGAAAAAAAAACACAATCATAATTATATTAAATTAGTAAAAAAAACACTCCAGAAAAAGTAAAGTATCACTTATCTAAAATAGGGTTGTCAATTATCAAAAAATGGTCTAAATAAAAATGATAAAATTAAACAATTATATCCCGTTTGGTCAATTTGGCAAATATTTTTTTAGTTATATTTTTGAACTTTATTTTCTCTTTTTAAATATAATTTCTTTTAATTCGGGAAATTATAAATGTTTTAGCTAACGGCTGGTTTGTCCCAGAATTTGATAACCAGGGAGTCAAACCTATAAGTATAACAGTTTAGTTCCATTCCGGTTTTTTGAAATTTTATACCGAGCATATCGATTATTTCCGGTTCTCCCTGTTTTTATAAGTGTTGGAATCTTTAAATTGATCATAATCAGTGTATAATTTTTTTTACTAATATAAAATATTTTAAAAATAAATATAAAAAAAATTGCAGAAAATAAATTGAATTACTTTATTTTATTACAATGTAAATAAGAAATGAATTAGTGATAAAATAAATTAAAATATATTAAGATTATACTAGTGCTGTAAACGTTACTACAAAAAAGAAACGCGTTACCGTTACTCGTTACATCTGAAAAAGGGACGCGTTACCGTTACTCGTTACCTTTTCAAAAAAGGAACGCGCGTTTCCAACTTTTCAAAAAAGTAACGGGCTACTCGTTACTTAAAAAAAATTAAATATATACAAAAATAATATTTATTTTTTTCCCACAATATATAATAAAATAAAACTATACAAAAAGAATATATAGGACTAATATAAATAAAATTATACAAAAAAACAATTTTTTATTTATTTTTAGCAATAATTGATATCAAAATTTTGATCAGACAAACGAGCGCTTAGTGCTCAACACAGCTGGTTAAATATTGGGATGTTATATATAGTATTTTAATAAATAAAATCTATAATGAAATTCTCTGTAAAATTTTGTTATTGGATAAATTCTGGTTACGCCACTCTTTCATATATATTTATTTCAAAGTTTTTTAAAATCTATTCTCTAAATTTATTAACAATTATAGTCACAATAGCAATATTAAACAAGAAATAGAAGATATAAAAAGGTCAATATAATACTTTGAACCAACATCAAGATTTTGTTAATTTTGGGTTTTTAATGTTGGTTTCCAGCCTAATACTGTAGTATAATTTAATTGCTTATATTTAGGGCTGTGCCGATCTGCATATTTTCACAGATCCGATCCGATATTGCTCCAAAACTGATGCGATACTGATACCGATACGATATTTATATTGTTTTTCACCACCCCCCTTTAAACCAAATGTAATTAAGAAATCAATATTTTTTATGCAAAAAATCAAATTATGCATTTAATTTTTTTTATTCTACAATTAAGACTATAATTTAAAAAACATATTTGATAATATATCCATTTTATGTTGGTATGAATTATAAAATTGTATTTAATATATAAAATTATAGTATATTAGATATTTTTTAATAAATACGATAGCCTCTAGATTTTCTGGCAATAAGCTTCTACGATATAGAGTATCTAAATCCCTAGCCGTACTGAGATGATTCCACAGATAACGCATTTTGCAAAATTATCTTTGTCTTTTGTAAAATATTTCCATAATTAAGATACCATATTTAAAAATTTTCTTTTATTTAAAGTATAATTAATAAAATTGGCGTTATTATTTAAAAAGATTTAAAATAATTAAAATTTTGGTTGTCCCTTTCTATTTTAATTGAAAAAGGGTGTTGTGCATTTGCATTGTTTAAAAAAAATATTTATAAAATATTATATTAATGTAAAATAAATATACATAACATAAAATAACAAAAAAAAGAATAGTAAAAAGATCGGATCGGTTTTTAGAGGTATCGGCCTGATCCGTCATTTTTCAGAAATCTTAAATATCGGTGCCGATCCGATATTAAATATCGACACAGCCCTTATTATATTTTAATTCCATGATTAAGCTTCAAAATATTATGAAAGAATATTATTCTATTATTAAAGTAATATTTAAAATAATGATATATTAATTTATCTTTTTACCTTAAAATGCTTTTTTAAGTTTGAACTGCTGGATATTTGTGTTGGGATATAAATTACATTTCCAAAGTGTAGACTTGGTACCATTAATTTTCTTTATTGGTTTAAAATATATTTCAAATTGGGGCCAGGGAAGGGTTAAATCATCTTCATCTGAAGAAGTAAGTACTATGGACATAATATTCTTAAAATAAATTATAAGAATAATAATATCATTAATATTTACTTTGAATTTGATTGAATATTAATTTCGACAGAAAATTTAACAACGAGAATTTAAAATAAAAATGAAAGCAGTGATTGATATGAATTAAAACTCAGATTAAATTATTTATATTAATAATTAAAAAATAAATGAAAGTAATTTTATAATACAATAAAATATGTTTTTCTTTTTGTTGATATTTTTAAGAAAAAATATAAAGTAACGAGTAACGTTTTGCGTTACCGTTAATCAAAAAAAGAATCGCCTTACCGTTATTCGTTACCTTTAGAAGAAGGTAACGAATGGCGTTCAAAAAGGTAATGTCGTTAGTAACGACGTTACTTTTTTGACGTTACTTCACAGCACTAAATTATACTAATCATTTGAAATACAAGATATAAAATTAAAAAAAACTAGTTTAAACCAGTTCAATATTTATGATAATTTAGTTCCCTCCTTTTGAGATTTTCTTATAATGGGTTGGGTTTAGAAAATGATGATAATTTATTTCTGTTTCGTTCGATTTGGTTTCAACACCCTTCTGATAATTAATGCATTTATTCAAAATAGAAGGTGACCAATCAGTCGCTAAATAATGGCATTTTATTTGTGCGGTAATTTAGATTGAATATCTATTTTCATACATTTCCACATTTTTTCACAGAAAAGACCAAGAAGATATCAAACTTTTGTCCATCTTACTCATGCACCTTAAACCGGAAACCGATTCGCACGTTATTTCCTTGGACAAAGAATTATTTGCTCTTTTGTCGGGGTCCAATTTAACCAGTCATGATTCACAAGTAATATATCCTAGATAGTAATTATTATTAAAGAAATCGAATTTTCAGAAAAAGTAAGCTGACAAGAGGGGAACGATTAATATCTTCAAATTTATATCATTCTTGCTATTTGGTATTCATATCTTATGTGGTTAGTCATGCCTTTTAATCTAAAACATGAAAAAATACACCACCTTGCTTATAAATGACGTTGTTAAACGACCCAATTCGAGACGATTTTTAAAAGCGACTTAATTATGATATTAGTTAAAATATATTATCTAAAGGCTTGTATTATTTTGGCTAAAATCTTAATCGGGGTGTAACAACACTACTCATAGACTTACTAAGGTAGGTAAAGAATTTAAAATCTCTTTCGTGATTTGTATTTTTTTTTGTTGACATTTATTTTTTAAGTAATATTATATTTTTAATTCCCAACGTTAAAATTATATATTATTTTTTATCATATTACCAATTCTAAGGTTCGAAATATATCTTTAGAAATAATACGTGCTCTCGGATTTAAGGCTTTCATCAAGGTAAGCAATCAAGAAGAGGCTATCAATGTAAGATTATTATTTTAATTACTTTCATGATTTACCTTTTTTTAACCTTAAATTTTATAAAAATCACATTGTTAAACATGTAGATGCTGTGTTTGATAACGATGTTATGTTATTTCAATCTTTTGATTAGTTATTCAATAGTTTTCAATCACTTTTGGCAGTTTTATGCTGAAGGATACTATTTTATAACGTTTTTTTTAAACTCAATATACAGAATATGTATACTTAAACGTAAATTATTTAAATTAATTATATAAATTCTTTACTTTATAGTAAATTAAATTTTATGGTTGATATTTTTTTGTGTCCTAAATAAATTTGTTAATATAAAATATTGTTACGGTTTAAAGAAATCAATAAGTAAAATTAAACTCAATTTTACTGGGTTAAAATAATCTTAAGTAAAATATGACATTAGTTAATAAAAAAAGACTGCAGTTTATTCACATAAATCAGCAGGACCTGATATGAAAAATTTTGCTTTCTTTTATTATTTTTCGAAATTTTTTTAGTCCGGCTTTCCAACATGATTTAGGCGTTGCTAAAAAACTTCACAGGGCTCACTTTAAAAAATTTTCAAAATTAGCAAAAAAAGAGGAAATTTTATCTAAATTTAACCAAAAAATAATAATTCTAACTAAAATTTAAAGGAAAAAAATTTTTCAGAGGCTTCACCAAAGTTTTTAGGGGGTTGAGTTCCTATGCTCCCTTCCTAACGACACTGGGTTTCGGGTATTATATATAATGGAATAAATGACTTAATTGAATTAATACAGAAAAAACAAGGACATCCTCTCCAAGTTCAATTTTTGCCTGTAGATATTAAGCTAATCTAGATCTAATTATCCTATTCAATTACTTTATCATCGTTTTTTGAGTACGTTAGATTTGATTAGTATAAGTCAAGTTCATAACATAATCAACGTAGAATCATATAGATTAAATATTTTACCGGAGTTTTTAATGGAACATAAATTATTTTTAACACTAGAATTAATATTTCATATATTTATGGCAAATTTTTAAGGACCCCAGCATTATTTCACCTAAAATGATCCTCGCCTATCAAGCCATTTTCGAGGATTGTTACAGATTTGGGGCGATTGAATCTGACCTCCAGAACTTTAGAGAAAAATTAATTTACCTTTCTCGTCTTAACGCCGAAGCATTGATCAAAAATTCTGAAAACGGAGAGCTAATTAAAATGGCACCAAGGATCTTACAAGTATATACTTTTCCCCCTCTTTTTGGCCGGATAAATCATGATAAATATAAGCCCTTCTAAAAAAATTATGTTTTTTTTCTGAAGAACATTTTTTAATTTTCATATTTATCAATTTTGTTATCCTATAATTTTTTTTTACAGACACTCAATGTCCGATATCGCTATTTTTTACACTTAGATTTATTTTGCATCCCATTTATTTTTCATTGGGTTTACAAAATAACTAATAATACAATTTTATTTTTTATTTGCAAGATTTGCCTTCTTTTAAACTCTTTAAATTATTCTTATTAATTAATAAGTTTTATTAACCAACAAAAAATAAGATATTGAAGAATTAAATTTCGTTATATAATATATCCATATCCTTCTAAATGTACCCTTATTCAGTTTGATTTATAATTAATTATTTGATATCAATCAATTATTCAAATAAATTTAAAAATTTGCATAAATTTTAAGCTGTCTGCCATATTTTGCCCGAATATTGATATTGGCCTAAAAATGGCATCGGCTCACTTCTGGTAATATGATGCCTTCTTTATTTTGTGTATTTTCTTGTTCTTAATAATTCTTAAAATATCACTCAATCCTTAACATCCATCTAGCTCCCTTCCCTCTTGATTTATTACTACCCCATAACTAATTTATCACATCTTCTCCCCTATATTCCCTTCCGTGCGTATCAGTCCGTCTTTTCATTCCTACTTGGTTCCCTCAAGACTGAAAAGATGGCTCCCGTCATAAAACAGCTCCAATCGACCCTTGCCTCATTCCTAAATCGGCATACGAATAAAACGGCCCCATTGAACAACATAACCAAAACATTCTGGAAGATTCTCCTCGATCAGCTCAATCCCTCCTGCCAGAAAGTGGATTTCCATCTTGATCAATCCGTTTCTAATACGAATATTTGTATATCAGCCGATATCGCTGACGATATGAACTCTGCGAATCATCGGATATCTGTGCTAAGAACCTCTTTTCATGAGCTCTACTTAAAGCTGGCTGATCCAGCCCCAATGGCAATTGATGGTAGGATTAGGATAAAATTGCTGGAAATTTTAAACTCAGGAGTTGAACCCGACTCATTGATCTCCCATAACCGGGAGATTGTTAGCAACTTCTTGCTTTTTTACCAGTGAGTTACTTTTATTTACGATCAATTGTTGACGAATTTATTTATAACCCACCTTATTTTTTGTATCATTATCATTTTAATCGTTTTTTATAGATGGTTTGTTATAAAACTTTTGGGGAACATAATCTTTCAATGAATTATCGCCTTATTACATTATCTAAATTTGCTATAAATGTAATTTTATTCAACCGTTATAAACCTATTAAGAACCGAATTCAGGGGCAGAGTGATACTCTTATCGAACGATCAATCCGAATTCTCAGATTCTCTTTCCGTTTCATTAAATACCAGACATGCTTCGGCCACTATTAAGTACACTTGAATTCTTACACATTATCAATCATATGATATAAACGAACATTATGATATTCTACAATTATAAATTACATTTGTCACATTTTCTTTGCTAATCATTAATAAAAACGAGTTTTTATTTCTCGTATAATTTTGAAGTAATCGCCTTACCTTATATTCATTGTGGCACTATTGCGATCGCGATTTAGTTTCGATAAATACAATATACAATAAATATCATATCGCATTTATAGTCACCTATCGCGCGACTTGAGTCGCCATTTAAACCAAAAGTTAATCGCTGCGATTTTTTTAAAATACAAATCATTTTGTGTTTATCGCTTGATTTTGAAATATTGACGTTAAATACTGCCTTTGGTAGAATTTGGACAAATTGTTTTACATTTAGCATTTTAAATAAAATCTTAAATTACTCGATTTTTGAATTGAATTCAATTACTCTTTTTTTGAAGATATCAAACTTATGAATCAATAAAATGATGATTTAAATTATAATATTTTTTGAGAAAATAGATAAAACAGTATTAATATATTCTGTAAAAGCATATATGCTTATATAATAAATAACATATTTAACTGACCTCATTGATAGTGTCAAAACGTTTGATGATAGTGTGACAATATATTTAAAGATGTAATTATTTTCAATAGTCCTGCATTAATAAAACTTGGTATTGGGAATGGTAATTTATAATATCTAAGAAAGTATAATATTTATATTTGAAGAATCTATATCCTCTGTTGAATTTCGTAGTTCTTATAAATGCTATAAGAGAAAAGGGAATGCCATTGGTAATTTAAATTTATTATATGTGTTTAAAAATCTACTAAAATTAAAATAGACAGAATTAAAAATCATTACCATGAATATGGCATATGCTGAAGGAAGAATTGGATAAATATTTAACTAATCAAATATATTAAATTATTTTGTATATATTTATCATATTTGAAATAAAATTATTTTATATATGTTGTATTCCATATCAAATCAACTGAAGATTCAACCCGACCCTCTTCGATTTTTTTTAAAATTTGCATGATGGTAATATATACACTAACTAGCAATAATATAAAATTTTAATTCTCAACTCAGCTTACTTCATGAGATATGGCCATCTTTAGAAACGCGAAAAGTTCAAAATACACCATATTTAATTTTAAATATCTCAAAAAGTAATTAAGCTAAAGGTATAATTTAAACTTTATTAAATAACTCTAGAATAACCCTTTAATATGATATAAAATTTATTATAAAAATAATTTTATTACCAAAAACCGGAAATAGAAAACCGGAAATGGTTATAAAATAAAAATTGGCCTTTTTTTTCTTTCAAAATTTTTTAACAAATAGACATTATATATCTTAATATTTGTACAAAATCCTAGATTGGGACCATTACTGGGCCAATAGTTATTACGCTTTAAATATAAATAGTATGGCTTAAATTCTATATTATACGAAATGAGTAATTATTTTTTTAACAAAAGTGATAATATTTGTGAAAGTATTAAAACTGAAATCCGAACCCCATCTTAAGATTTATATTCGCCCCCCCCCCCCCCCCCAAAAAAAAATTTCTTCTTAAATTCGAGATTTTTGACCTGGCAATTCTATGAGTGAATTATGTAGATTATTTTCTTTGCCGGATAAAAAATTATCTTTGTGATCGTCAGAAATATATTTTCATATAGATTATTTTCGACTTATAATTAATTATCAAATAAAATAATTATCATAAAAATCAAATTCAATTCCAACAGCAACAGCCGTCATTTATATTGATTAATTTTATAAAGCCATTTTTCTAAGAAAATTAAATTATAGGTATTCATTATCCAATTTATTTTTAATTTAAAATGATTATATAAATTTAGCTATCTTTTATTCCTTACCAAAAAAATTTAAATGTCTAGAAAAGATATTTCTATTCCAGTAAAGTGCTGTAATCCCTTTAGAATAAAATCTCATTCAGTACGTTACGATCTTAGAAATGTTTTACAATGGATGATAGAAGTGAATTCTAGCTTATCAATTAATCAAAAAATTTGTAGCTCTTGCCGGAAAAGATTAAAAAAATATTCAACAAATCTGATCTCACATTTTACTTCTACGATCCCGATCACATTACCTTCTATTTCTAACTTACCGTCTACCTCAACTATTAATGAAACATTTAGCGATTCTGAACCTGATCAACCATGCAATCCCGACTCTTATACAGATTTTAATACTTCAATTTCAACTTTAAATGAAACTTTGCCATTTTTAGGGGAGACACCTATTAAAAAGAAAAGGTTAAATGAAAAAAAATATCCTGTAAATTAATTTTTGAAAATTCAGGGAAAAATTAAAAAAGTTTTTAAAATAAATCTAGAGGATCAAGCAAAAAAAGATGAAGCCGAAATCATAAATCAACTGAAAGAAAAATTTGCTACAAGTTCTCGCAATGAAAAAATACAAATTTTAAAAGTTTTACCAAAATCTTGGACTCTTGATAAAATTGAAAACAATTTTCAACCACAAATTTTATGGCCCGGACAGCTTAAACAATTAGTTGAAGAAAAGGGTGTTTTGTCAAACCCAAATATCATAAAACGAAGTAGAATAATTCCGGATGACATTGCAAATAAAGTAATAGAATTTTATAATTCTGACGAAATCAGCAGACTAATGCCAGGTATGAATAATTTTATATCAATGAAAGTTAATGGAAAAGGAACCAAGTACAAAAGAGATTCGTTTTGTGTAATATAAAAGAATTATTTACCAATTTTAAAGAAATAAACAGTAATATAAAGATAGGTTTCAGCAAGTTTGCTATCATGAGATCAAAAAGCTGTATTTTAGCAGGCAGGTCTGGAACGCATACAATGTGCATCTGTACATTTCATCAAAATTTTAAATTAATTATAATTGGGGGTAAATTAAATCAGTTAACTGCAAACCAGCATAGCTATCCATTTCCTCCCTTAAAAGATTATAAACATTACATTGCACAAAGTCTACGCAATCCAGCCCAACCTTGCTGTTACTTAAAGAAATGCCAAATGTGTCCCGGCACTTTGGAACTTAAAGAAAGATTACATTTATTGTTTGATAATAATGCCATAGATTATATAACATTTAAACAATGGTTAGCGGCAGACCGTACCACCCTCGAAACCTTAACTAAGTCCGCCAGCGAATTTTTGGAGTATTTGATTGAAAAATTAAATATTTTAATTCCTCATGCTTAATGATTTTGGGATCAAGGCAGAATGGCATTTTTTTGCAACTGCACATGGCAAAACTCCTTGCGATAGTTTAGGGGGAATTACAAAGAGGTTGGCTGCTAGAGCAAGCCTGCAACATCCTTATGAAAATCATATATTAACTCCTATGGATTTATATAAATATGCGAGAATTAATATCCCGGGTATTAATTATACATTTGTCAGCAACGTTGAATATTTAAGAATGGAAACCAATCTCGTAAATAGATTTTTAACGGCCAAACTAATTCCCGGGACATTAAAATATCATTCATTTATTCCAATGGAAGGAAAAATGAAAGTCAAACGTTATTCTAAATCATTAGATAATTTAATGTATGATATTATTTAATTTAATATGTTTATAACAATATTAATTTTCCATTTGATATTCATGTAATATAAATAATTAGCTAAATAAAGTTATAAATATTTTTACAATTATTTTCTCTCTAAAATAAAATCGCTAAACTTATATGTTAAATATGTGTCTACTAGTGGGCTCACAGCCCGAAACATTTATAAAAAAAATATAATCGGCCCGATCATAAAGGAATTTTCATTTTATTTGTTTCGTAAATTACTATATATTTAATAATTTAGGATTTGAGCCATACTATTTATATTTAAAGCGTAATAACTATTGGCCCAATAATGGTCCAAATCTAAAATTTTGTACAAATATTAAGAAGTATAATGTCTATTTGTAAAAAAAATTTGAAAGAAAAAAAAAGAGAATTTTTATTTTATAGCTATTTCCGGTTTTTGGTAATAGACTTTTTATTAATAAAATAATTTTTATAATTAAAGGGCTATTCTAGAGCTATTTAATAAAATTTAAATCATCCTTCAGCTTAATTACTTTTTGAGATATTTAAAATTAAATATACTGTATTTTGGAATTTTCACGTTTCTAAAGATGGCCATATCACATGAAGTAAGCCGATTTGAAAAGTAAAATTTTACATTTTTATTAGTTAGTGTATACCAGGGTTGGCATGTCGGTCAATTGGCCGGAGGAGTATTTGACCGGTCAAATACTCTAAAATATTAATGGCGAATAAATATTTTGATATAATTAACTAGTATGCATTAAAAGCATGTTTATCAATCTTATTAGGTTACAATTATTTTAAAAATTATTTGTATCATGAATTGTTAAAAACAAAAGAATTCTTTTATTGTTAAAATATAAATATGTAATTTTTAGTAAATATAGTAATATTTTTAGTTATTTTTTTGCCTAATCATTGCCGTTTCTCGCCTTCTTTATTTTTTTCAATTCATTTTTCTTAAAAAAAATAAAAATACCCGATTTATTATAATCATAATATAATTTTTTCATTCTTATTTTTTAATAAATTTAAATTTTATTTAATATTTAGCCGAGTATAAATTATATTAATTCTCATTTGTTTTACTTACACTTGCTATATTTGGTTTTTAAAATTAATTTTCATTTTAATTGTTCTGGTCAGATTTACGGAATATTATTCAATTCTGGTAAAAAGTTATATATATTATATTATATTTATAATATTAAGAAATTATTGGAATAATTGGTCGATAATTATAAAATAGTTAAGATCGATTAACTTTACAATAATCAATCATTTTTTGTTAAATTTTAATATATTAGGGATTATGGTCAAACCAAAGCATCATGTTTGGAAACATTTTCAAGAAGTACGCGATGGTAAATCAGTTAAAGCGGTGTGCAAGTTTTGCAAGATGTCCTATAT